TCTCCCTCCGCTCTCCCCCTCCCCCTCTCTCTCCCCCTCTCCCCTTCCCCCTCTCTCTCTCTCATTTTTTTTAAATCATGGGGGGTAGGGAAGGGGGGTGGGGCCGGATGTGGTTCTGGGTGACCGGCGACGAAGAGACTCACGGCGACGCGTTATGGGCGCTGACGTAACGGAGGCGGAGTGACGTCTGGCTGCGCGTTCTAATTGGGGGGAAATTCGATGGAGAATGAGAGAGAGAGAGAAGGAGAAGGAGAAGGAGAGGAGGAGGAAGGAGAGAGGGAGGGGAAGAGAGAGAGAGGGAGAGGGAGAGGGGGAAGGTAGAGAGAGAGAGAGAGGGGGGGGGTAAGAGAGAGAGAGAGAGAGAGGGGAGAGAGAGAGAGAGAGAGAGAGAGAGAGAGAGAGAGAGAGAGAGAGAGAGAGAGAGAGAGAGGGAGGGGAGGAGAGGGAAAGGGAGAGGGAGAGGGAAAAGGGAAGGGGGAAGGGGAAGGAAGGAAAAATAGAATCAAAGAAAAAAAAAGAAAGAAAAAGGAAAGAAAGCACTGGAGAGAGAGTCAGACGTAGAGACAGACAGACGCAGAGCAAACAACAATAGCGGTGCGTGTGTTGTGGTCATCAGATCAAGCCGGGATCTGAGTGCCTCGGTGCCACAGTAGCAGCCTTAACGACCTCGTAATCGCCTCGTGTTGGCACTCTGGTACTCTGGCACTGTGGCTTAGGGTTGGCACCGCTTGGGACGCTAGATCGAAGGGAGGAAGGAGGGAGGGGAGGGGTGGAGGTTGAAGGGGGAGGGGGTACACACCTCTGATTTACATCTTTTTTGGGGGGGGGAAATGAAGTGTCTTACTTGCATCTTCCTCCACCCCCCCCCACACACACACCATTCTCTCTCTCTCTCTCTCTCTCTCTCTCTCTCTCTCTCTCTCTCTCTCTCTCTCTCTCTCTCTCTCTCTCTCACACACACACACACACACACACACACACACACACACACACACACACACACACACACACACACATTGTCGTTTTTCGGCGTCACTGCAACCTTGATCACGACAGGCAATAACCTCCCCCCCACACACACACAAACACACACCACCCCCTCCCTTCATACCCCCCCACACCCCCCTCCCTCCCAATGTAACTTGAGGAAATTGTTCTTATCACATCAACACTAGCATTTTTTTTTTCTTTTTTTATGCTTGGTTGCTTGCTTGCCTACGTGTTTATTGAGTTGAGTAAATTTTAGTTCTTTTATCTTACTGAGCTGTTTTTTTATCTGTTTTGTTTATATATATATATATTTATTTTTTTTATTTTTTTATTTTTTTAGAAAAGGTATGAGTGAGAATGAATATCTTTACAATACAAGAGATTATTTGGCTGGTTTCGATTACATCTTCGTCAGAAATACGTGTATTTCTGACGAAGATGTAATCGAAACCAGCCAAATGCATCCCTTGTATTGCGAAGATATTCATTCTTATTCATACCTATTATACATTGTCAACATGAATACGGTTCATTTATATTTTTTTCTATGTTTTCTACTTCTCTCCTTTCTTCCTCCCCTTCTTCTCCCTCTCCTTCCCTCCCTCCCTCCCTTCCTCCCTTCCTCCCTCCCTCCCTCCCTCCTTCCTTCCTTTCTTCCCTTCTTCCTTCCCTTTTTCCTTCCTTCCCTCCCTTCATACATACATACATACATACATACATACATACATACATGAAGACGCACATCCACACATACCTATCCAACTATCAATAAAAAAAAAATAAAAAAAACGGCAAATTCTAGCAAGCTTGTAAAGAAAACAATGAAAAAAAACAACAACATACAATGCCGCTTTTGTAATTACGCGACACCTTCGTTTGATAAAAAGATTAGCCTTATCAGTGTCCGCGAGTCAGAGATAAGAAACCTCCTTCTTCTACTTGTTTTTGTTCTTCTTCTTCGTCTTCTTCTTGTTCTTCTTGTTCTTCGGCTTCTTCTTCTTCTTTGTCTTCTTCTTCTTCTTTGTCTTCTTCTTCTTTTTCTTCTTCTTCTTCTTCTTCTTCTTCTTCTTTTTTTTCTTCTTCGTCTTCTTCTTCTTTTCTTCTTCTTTGTCTTCTTCCTCTTCTTCTTCTTCTTCTGCTTCGTATTGTTTTTTTTTTTTATTGTTTATTTTATATATTCGTTTATTTTGTTAGTTATCTGTTCGTCTGCTTTACGTAAGCGTATATTGTGGATGGGGGGAGGGGGAGGGGGAGGGGAGGGTATTCACCTATTCTCATTTTCTTTGTTTTTTTGTTTTTCTGTGCTTATTGGTGATTGGCTATTCGAGTCTTTTGCTAATGAACAAAGTTATTTTAGCATGTCCTGTTTTTTTAGGGACGTTGATCGGGATTTTTATTTTACTTTTTTTTTTCTTTTGACAGTTTAGTTGTGGTGTCGTGTAACAGCGGCGAGTCAATAGCGGATGTTGTGGCTGTAATCACCTGAACAACCTCCTCCTTCTCCTCCTCCTACTCCTCTCTTCCTTCCCTTTTTCTTCTCTCTCCTCCCTTTCCCTCCTTTCTCCTTTTTCTCTCTTCTCCCTCCTTCCCATCTTCGGTCCTTCCCTCCCTTCCTCTCCCTTCCCTCCTCCCCCTTCCTTCCTCCCCCTTCCCTCCTTCCCCCTTCCCTCCTTTCCTCCCTCCCCTCCTTCGCTCCTCCCCCCTCTACCCTTCCTACCTTCCCTCCATCGCTCCATCCCCCTCCTCCCCCCATTCCTCTCCCTCCTCCTCCCCCCCGCCTCGGTCTCTCAGAAGTCAGGTGTTTTAGAGTAGCGTTTGTGCGTGTCTGGGAAAGGGGAGTGTCTCTTAGTGTGTGGTGTAGCGCTGTGGTGTTCGAGTGTGCGCGAGTGTAGCTTGAAAGTGTTAGTATAGAGTGCGCGCGGGAGAGGTTTCGATGTGTTAGTTAGTGTTCTTGTATATATATATATATATATATATATATATATATATATATATATATATATATATATATATATATATATATATATATATAGATAGATAGATAGATACATTTTTTTTATGTGTATTGGAGGGGGGGTTGTTTGCTGTGATTGTACCTTTTTGTTTTTGCTTGAAATTTTGAATTTTTGTTGTTTATATCCGGTGCTTTTCATTTGTTTTCGTTTTTTTTTTTTAATGAACGGTGTATATATTTTTTTTGTCTGTTTTATTCATAATAACTAAATCCATGAAAAAAAAATGACAAGATCTATTTTTGGTCCTAGTATATACAACAACAGAAACATGACGTGGGCTACATGATCTCACGGCTCAGTAACTCCAGTGTGTTGGAAATTACGATTCGCAGAAGTATGAAAGGGCGCGAGGGGATGTGCGTGGGTGACGGAAAAGGGTGTCGTAAGTCAGTCAGAAAAAGGAGACAGGGGGGGGGGTGTTACGGAAAGCTCAACGGCGTTTCAAGTCAATCAGAAGATAAAAAAATATATATATATTTTTAACATAGGGACGAGCTGTATGTGACATTTCGTAAGTTAGTCAGAAAAAAGAGACAGGGGGGGGGGGGTGTTACGGAAAGCTCAACGGCGTTTCAAGTCAATCAGAAGATAAAAAAAAATATATATATATTTTTAACATAGGGACGAGCTGTATGTGACATTTCGTAAGTCAGTCAGAAAAAGGAGGAGGGGGGGGGGGGTTGTTACGGAAAGCTCAACGGCGTTTCAAGTCAATCAAAAGATAAGAAAATACATTTTTTAACACAGAGACACGAGCTGTATGTGACATTAAAAAAAAAATGGGTGAGTGACCGAAAGCCCACCAGCGTTACAGGTCATTAAAAAAAAAAAAAAAAAAAAAATATTGGGGAAAAAAGTGCGTAAGGTGGGCGTGAGGTGGGCGGCGAGGGTGGGCTCAGGAGGAGGGTTTTTTTTGCATTATAATGATGTTTGTGGCGAGAGAGGGAGAGGGAGAGGCTGTGGTATTGAAGCATCTCGTGGCCGGCTGAGGGATCCTGTTTACTTCGCTTTTTACTTGTTTGTCTGTCTGTTGATCTGTCTGTCTATTTTATTTGGTATTTGTTTATTTATGTTTTATTCATTTGCCTACTTGTTTCTGTCTGTCTATTTGTGTGTTTGTCTATATGGTTAGTATTACTTTTGTGTGCGTGCGTGTTTGTATGTGTGTGTGTGTGTGTGTGTGTGTGTGTGTGTGTGTGTGTGTGTGTGTGTGTGTGTGTGCGTGTGTGTGCGTGTGCGTGTGTGTGCATTTGTTTTTTGGACATGTGTGTGTACACGTACTGGTATTTAGAGATGTGCATGCATGTCCTGACACGTACGCGGTTGAAAGCACGAAAACACATAGACACAAACACCTAAACATACATACGCTGTGAAACACACACACACACACACACACACACACACACACACACACACACACACACACACACACACACACACACACACACACACACACACACACACACACACACACGAGCCGTATGTGATTATCCTTATTAATACGTACAGGAAGCCATTGATGATTCGACATTGATAGTCCAGTGGGGGGAAGGGGTGGTGTGGGAGGGGGTATACAGATGGTCTGACCCTTCAATGCGCACCTTCCCCTCTTTCCCCCCCCCCCCCCTCTTCCTCTCCTCCTCATATCCTCCCCCCCCCCCATCCTCTCATCCCCTCTCCTCATATCAACCCCTTCTCCTCCTCCCCTTCCCTCTTTATCCTCCCCTCCCCTCCCCTCCCTTCCCCTTTCCTGTCTATCCTCCCCTCCCCTCCCCTTATACCATCCCCTCTTGCTCTCCCCCTCCCCCCTTTTCCTAATCCCCCCCACAACGACTCAACATTGCATTCGCGAGGAGGACCGAGCGGCGGGAGGGACGACGACCTGCCAAGTCGTTCTGTGGCGGTCGTCGCGGATTTTGTCTTTTTTTTTTTGCGTGATGAAAAAGTGGCGTTCGTTGTCGATAACCGTTTTGTGATTTTTTTGTTTTGCAGGTGTGAACATATTAGAGAAAAGAAAATATTGATAAGTGAAAACGGTTTTTATCAGTGGTGTTGAAGAGAAAGAGAATAAATTTTATAAATAGACAGCTGTTGGTGCTTTGATATCGGTGGAGTTGCCATGTGAGTCTCGGTCATCGTTCGTCGCTCTTTCGTTGTTTGTCTGGCAAGGAAGAGCCGCCCTGCCAGCGGCCGGCATGGGCACGCGACGCGATAACCGGCTGTCGGAGGGCGGCCCCGTGCGCCCCCTCCACGTCAAGCAGGACCACGACCGCAGGAACCAGGAGCTCCTGAAGCAGCTTTCGAACGGAACGGCGCCCTCCAAGAGGCCGCCTCCCTCCTCCTCGGCTTACATGTCCAAGTCCTTGACGCTCGAGCTGGAGAAGGGCCTGCAGGGGTCGTCCGCCAAGGCGCACGGGAAGAAGTCGTACCTGCGGCAGACGTCGAGCTCCGTGATGAGGAGCAGCCACGGCGGCGGCGAGAAGGACGCCCCGGCAGCCGGGAGGAGGAAGCGCGACGCGAGTCCTTCCAAGGCGCCCAACAACCGCCTGGAGAAGAAGGCGAGTCCGGGCGGCGACGCCCCCAGGCGAGCCGACGTCTTCGAGAGGCTGTCGAAGGTGGACTCGAACAAGAGCTCCGCCGGCCACAGGCTGCCCCGCGACCGCAGTCCCCAGAAGGGCGGCCGCAGGAGCCCCCAGGAGAGGAACAGCCTGGGGGAGAGGAGCCAGAGCGGGCGCAAAACGAGCTCGCAGGGCAGGAGGAGGGACGCCAGCCCGACGAAGGGTGGCGGCGAGGCCATCCGAGGGGGCAACAAGCGGGCCCTGGTCGGCGGGGGCGCGGGCAGGGGCGCCCCTCCCGCCCTCAAGAATGACGAGGACGTCGACTCGTCCGCCGCGAAGCTGGCGCAGGAGAACATCCCCGAGTCGGTCGACAAGGACCTCGACGACCCCCCGGCGCGGGCGAGCGTGGGCGGCCCCGCAGGCCCCTCTCGTGGGGCGGGTGAGGCTGTCACGCGCCCGGCCTCCCTGGGCGTCACTCCGCCCAAGGTGGAAGGCAGAGGCGAGGCCTCCTCCCCCGGGGCCGGAGACAGCTCCTTGCGGACGCCCACGGAGGCGCCGGCCAAGCAGAGACACGTGGCAAAGGAGCAGTCGGCCCCCAGCAGGAGAGACAGGGCCGGTGACCCGAAGACGCCTCCCGAGCGCCGCGCCAGGACGGCCGAAAAGCCTCCGGCGCCACAGGAAGCGCCCGCGGCGAGAACGAAGCCAAAGAAAGCGGGGATGGAGGTGGCGAGGCTGCCGTCGCCGGCGGAGGTGATCCAGAAGGTGCGCGAGCGCGTGAGCGACGGCTCCCCGACGAGCAAGGCGCCTCCGGGCGTGGACGACGACAAGGACGTGTGCGAGGCCGACAAGGCGGAGGACGAGCGCGAGTTCTACAGGATCAGCGTTCAGACGAGGCTCGTCAGCTACAACAACAGCACGCTGGTCATCAAGAACACGTCGAAGGCGGCGGCGGTGGGCGACAATGCACACAGCGACGCCGAGGCTGACTCAGCCGAAGCCACCTTGCAAAGCTCATCAGCGGCGGCAGCTGGGGCGGGCGCCGCCGCAGCTGACGTGGAAGCTGACACTGACGCCCCCCGCTGCCACCCTGCGGCCGAGGCGGGCGACGGCGGCCTGTTTCGCACGGGGAGCCTCCGGGGGAAACTCAGTACCTTCGTCAGCAAGGGCAGCAACATCGTCAGCAAGGGCAGTGACTTCGTGAGCAGAGGCAGGAACTTCCTGTGCGACGTCTACAGCGCCACGCACAGCAGGCTGGCCGCCCGGATCGCCGGCAGCGACGAGAGCGGCCCAAGCACGCGCTCCGCCTCGCCCTGCAGCGCCGCCTCCTTCGACGGGGATGACCTTCGCGTGGGCGGCGCCAGGGACAGCGACAGCGGATACTTCAGCATCAGCGAGGGCAACCCGGGCTTCCTCAGGCGCCACGTCCGCGCGGCGTCGTGGCACTGCCCTAGCGCCTACCGCGGGATGCCAGGCGCCTCCCCGCTGCCGCCCTGCCCCCCTGCCTCCTCCTCCTCGACCTCTGCCAGCAGCGGGGGCGCCGCCGCGACCACTGAGACGCAGACGAAGGTGCGAGGCGAACCCGCGATGGAGGCTGAGACGGTCGCGAGGCCAGAGGGCGCGGATCAGGGCGGCGCCGAGAGGAAAGAGGGCGGCGACGGGGCGGCGAAGGGGCCCACGGTGGACGAGGACTGGATCAAGAAAAACATCCTGTGCACGTGCAAGTGCCAGCGCCGGGCCGAGGGCGTCGCGGGGCAAACGGAAGAGAGCGTCGCAGGGCGCACGGAAGCGGACACCGACAACGCCGACGCGGACGAGGCGCAGAGCGGCGCCAACTGCGAGAGCATGATTAGCGAGAGCAGCGCCACGGAGAGCGAGGCGCAGGAGGAGGAGGAGGAGGAGGAGGAGGAAATGTGCTTCTGCTCCTGCCACGAGGTCGGCCCCGACGGACACGTCCTGCAGCACCTGCCGGAGGAGGTGAAGGAGCTCCTCGACGCAGATCACGCAAGGTAAAACCTCATTATGTATCTGACTACATTTGCCATGCACACACACACACACACACACACACACACACACACACACACACACACACACACACACACACACACACACACACACACACACACACACACACACACACACAAACACGCATACCTAAAACATTAAAACAAACAAACACATAATTCTGTAGCAGAATCCACATCATGTCGAAACCCAAGCCAGTCATGCCCTAGTCACGTGTAGATCTGATGAAGCTATTTAACAAGGCGAGGGACCTGGAGTGGACATGATGCATTACCATAACCAGCGGGAGGGACCTGTATTTTGGACTGACCCCCCCCCCCCCTGGCGTTCTTTGCCCCCCTTCCCCCACGCACCCAGACCCCCTGTCGAGACGGAGCTATAACTTCTCCGGGGTGGTACCTTTCTCTCTCGCTCTCTCTCTCTCTTTCTGTCTCTCTTTCTCTCTCGCTGTCTCTTTCTCTCTCTCTCTTTCTGTCTCTCTCTCTCGCTCTCTCTCTCTTTCTCTCTCTCTTTCTCTCTTTCTTTCTCTCTCTCTCTCTCTCTCTCTCTCTCTCTCTCTCTCTCTCTCTCTCTCTCTCTCTCTCTCTCTCTCTCTCTCTCTCTCTCTCTCTCTCTCTCTCTCTCTCTCTCCTGTTCTCTTTTCTCTTCTCCCTTCTCTTTTTTCCTTCCTCCCTCTCTCTACGTAAATAGAGAAAGTTTACCATTGCTTCCCATTTCCTGCACTTCTAAATCACTAGAATCGGCGACTGCATTTGCATAGCGCGGGCATTTTTTTTTTTTTTTTTTTAATCGGAAACGTTAATTTTGACCCGAAAGTTTTATGATCCGAATTTGCATAAACGCGAAGAACAGGAATTTCTCCGTGTGTTCGTTTCAAGCAAGATGTCTGGCTTTGTTATTGTTTATTTAACTTTGATTGTTTGTTTGTTTGTTTTTAGGCTGAAAGGGATTTTTTTTAGATTTTTTTTTTTTTCATTTTTGGAAATCAAGTATAGCTGGGTATCTATTGTAAGTTCACATTTTCTTTCAATCTTTATTTTATCTTATTTTATTTTTTGTATATTTTAAGGTTTCCTGTTTTTGTTTTTCAGGATCATTTTAAAAAAATCTTAGTTGTTAATGTTATTGTTATCTTTGATATTGTCACTAATTGTACTCATCACTGAAAATAGTAATGATGATTATGTTGATTATTACGATGGCAATAATTACAATGATGAAGGTGATTAAAGTAATATTAATATTGATAAAGATTAACATCATCATCATTGTCATTACTGTTATTGGTATTATTGTCTTCATCATCACTCGTTTTTTACATTCCTAATACTACGAACACAATAAGAAGAAGAAAGAAAGATAAATCTGGAGCGAAGGAAGAAGAAAAATAGAAAATCGAAGAGGAATTAGAAGAAAAAGGAAGAAAAAAGAGAAAGAGAAGAAAGAAGAGAAAGAGAAGAAGAGAGAATAGGTGTTAAAAATAAATCTGGGTCGTGTTTGTACAAGTCGCTCCCTGCCTCGTCTGTGGGTGGAAGGGGGGGTGGGGGAGGGGGAGGGGGGATGGGGGTAGGTGGGGATGGAAGGGTGAAGTTGGATGGGCGGGGGGGAGGGGAAGGGAGAGGAGGAGAGGGAGACTGGGGGGAGAGGGGGAGTAGAACCAGTAGTAATAGTAATCGTAGTAGTAGTTTTTGTAGTAGTTGCCGTAATATTAGTAACAGTATTAGCAGTAGTAGTAGTAATGGTAGTAGTTGTAGTAGTTGTAGCAGGAGTAATAGTAATAGTGGTATTCGGAGCAGTGATATTTTTAGTAATGGTTGTTATTGTAGCAGTAATAGTAATAGTAGTAGTAGTAGTAGTAGTAGTAGTAGTAGTTGTTGTTGTTGTAGTCGTAGAAAAAAAAAGGCGAAGAAGACGAAAAAGGAAGAAATAGCAGTAGTAGAAATATATACCATTCCACCGCGGCGAATTTAGCCCTAACTCGTCCGAAAAAGTGGCATATGAGAACCAAAATCGACCTTGAATAGTATTTTAGTATAACATTCTCTGATGCCAAATATGCATCCGTTCGAACGAGTCCTCTCAAGATTTTTTGTCCCGAAATCTAGTTTTTTTTCTCGAGGAATGGGCAGAAGTAGGCCTATGTCGGCTTGTTATATATTAATATCTTTTTTATCCTTTGTTTTGATGTTTATGGGTCGTTCTAGTCGTTTGTTTGTTTGTTTGTATTACGTGGATCTTTTTCACTAATATATGTAAATGCATACACATATAAAAATTGCACAGAAGAAGGGAATGTACACACGCGCGCGTAACACAAACACACACACACACGCACACGCACACGCACACACACGCACACGCACACGCACACACACACACACACACACACACACACACACACACACACACACACACACATATCAAAACACACAAACAAACACACACCCCCTCCCTCACACCCAAACCCACACACACATAAGGAATGGGCGAGGGCGACTCATACCTCGTTTAATCCATTTGCTCGAAGGCCATGGGCGGGCGGATGGGCCTGCGAATGGGCGGGCGGGCGGGTGGGCGGATGGGCGGATGGGCGTGCGGGTGAACAGGGAGAGACGGGATACCTGTAGAATGTGGTTGGTGAGGGTGGATATTTGTGGATATTTGTGTTTCTTTTATTGCGTGTGGATATTTGTGGATTCTTTTTGCGTGTGTGGATATTTGTGGATTTTTTGCGTGTGGATATTTGTGGAATTGTGGATGGATATGTGTGTTATTTGTGGAGGTATGTGTGGATAAGGGAGAGATGCGTGTGGATGAGTGGATGAGGGAGATGAGAACGTGGTGGATGAGTGGATGAGGGAGATGAGAACGTGGTGGATGTGTGGATGAGTGGATGATGCGGATGAGGCTGGTTGGGTGGAAGGAAGTTTCTCGTAAGTTCAAATCCGGTTTGTCTTCTTTTCCTGGATTTGTGCTGTGTTTTCTTTTATCTTTCGTGTTGATTTGTTTTATCTGTTTCTTCTAAATCTCTCTTTCTTACATTTTCTTTGTTTCCTTCCCTTCTCTAATTTTCTTTTCTTAATCTAGATGTCTTGCTCTATTCTTTTCTTCTCTCTTTTTCTTTTTATCTTCTTCACTTCTTCCTCCCTCACTCCATTCCTTTCTCTCTTCTTCACTTCTTCCTCCCTCACTCCATTCCTTTCTCTCTCTCTCTCTCTCTCTCTCTCTCTCTCTCTCTCTCTCTCTCTCTCTCTCTCTCTCTCTCTCTCTCTCTCTCTCTCTCTCTCTCTCTCTCCCCCCCCTTCCTCACACCCGTCTCCCTCCTCCCACTTTCGACCTCCAACCTTTCGTCCTTCTCCACTTCCCTCCTCCCCCTCTCCCTCCCTTCCCCACTTCCTCTTCCCCTTCCCCCCTTCTCCTTCTCCTTCCCCTCCCCCCCTTCCTATTTCCTCACTTCCCCACTTCCCAGTCTTCCTCTACTTCCCCACATTCTCCCTTTCCCCACTTCCCCTCTTCCCCCTCTCCCCTTCCACTCTTCCCCACTTCCCCTCTTCCCCCTCTCCCCTTCCACTCTTCCCCACTTCCCCTCTTCCCCCTCTCCCCTTCCCCTCTTCCCCACTTCGCCTCTTCCCCACTCCCCCCTCCTCCCTTCCCCACTCCCCCCTTCCTGTCTGGCGTCCATCATGTCAGAGGCGTTGAGTCGTAGTGTGTGTGTGTGGGGGGGGGGGGGGGGCGTAGGTCGTTAGCGTGGTCGTCCAAGCAGCAAATGAGCAGAGACGTGTCACAAGCAGGCAGGAGCAGGAGCAGAGGCGGAAGCAGGAGCAGAGAGAGAGAGTGAGAGAGAGAGAGAGAGAGAGAGAGAGAGAGAGAGAGAGAGAGAGAGAGAGAGAGAGAGAGAGAGATAAAGGGAGAGTTGAAAGAGTGAGGGAATGAGAGAGAGAGAGAGTGAGAGAGAGAGAGAGAGTGAGAGAGAGAGTGAGAGAGAGAGTGAGAGAGAGAGTGAGAGTGAGTGAGAGAGAGAGAGAGAGAGAGAGAGAGAGAGAGAGAGAGAGAGAGAGAGAGAGAGAGAGAGAGAGAGAGAGAGAGAGAGAAAGAGAAAATATGAGAGAGAAAGGCAGACGAACGGACCAGAGATGAGTTTCGAAAGGGAATGAGCGTGGCTTCCGAAATCTGAAATTCTGAAATATTTTTGAGTTTGGTGACTTGTACTGAGAGTGAGAGTGAGGGAAGGGATGGATGGAGGAAGAGAGGGAATGAGGGAGGGAGGAATAAAGGAAAGGAAGAGGGGAGGAAAGAGAGAAGGAAGGAGGGATGGAAGGATGAATAAAGGGAGGGAGGAATAAAGAGAAGGAGGAAGGGAAGGAAAGAGAGAGGGGTGGGTGGGAATAAAGGGAAGAAGGGAGGGAGGAATAAAGAGAGGAAAGACAGGCGTTAAGGAATAGAGAAGAAAAAGAAGTGAAGGGAGAGTGAAAAGGGAATAAAAAAAAATGGAAGAAAGATACAGCGAGGAAAAGACAAACAAACAAAAACAAAAATAGTGACAAACAAATCGATGAAGATTTTTTTTACTTAACTTTCCGTGCTCTTCTGTTCACTTAAGGGTATATAATATCAAGAGGAAGGAGGGAACAGGGGGGGAGGGGGCGAGGGGAGAAGGGCAGGAAAAGGAAGAGGGAGAGAGGGGAAAGGAGAGGGTGGGGATGCCAAGTAGTGTATTTGCGTAATGCTATTGGGTATATCGATCAATTTTTTCCCCTCCAGGTGGACTCTATTGATTAACTGTGACGTCACGCTCGATCTACGCTAATATCCAGGTGTTAGTAAGGGGTTGTTTGGGGGTGGGGGTGGGGGGGTGGGGGTGGAGACAGACAGATGGATTGACACAAACGTACCCCTCCCTCCCCCCCTCCCCACCACCACCACCACCACCACAGTCACATAGGCACAGAGAGACGGACACAAACTTCGATACAGAAAAACACGAAATGAAAAAAGTCACAAAGAAAGACAGACAGAAACACATACACACGCACACACACACACACACACACACACACACACACACACACACACACACACACACACACACACACACACACACACACACACACACACACACACACACAAACACACACACAAACACACACACAAACACACACAAACACACACAAACACAAACACACATAAACACACACTCTCTCTCACACAC